CCCGCGCGGCCCAGCGACCTGACGCCGGCCCAGGGATGAGCCTGCACCAGGAGGGACGGGGTCCCCGAGGCCCCCCGAGAGGGAGCCGTGGGCGACCCCGAGAAGTCGCAGTCACGCTGGCAGAGGCCTCAACGTCCTCCTCCAGCGGCTCGACTCAGTCGCGGGTAGGGCTGGGCTCGTCCTGCCTCAGCCTCTCAAGTAGCTGCACAGGTGCACAGAAGGGTGTCCCGGAGCTCTTGGAAGGCCCCCTCCTCCTCCTGCCCTCCCTCCTGGGGAGTCACTGACAGTCCTGGGATGCACCTATGGGGTCTCCACTGCTGGCCCACTGGCCCGTCTTTTTATTTTGAGACAAGGTCTCCCTAAATTGCCCAGAGAGCACTCAAACTCAAGGTCCTCCTGCCTCAGCCTCCCTCGGTGCAGGGATCATAGGTGTATGCTATTACGCCCAGCAAGGGGTTCTAGGAAATCTAGGGTGGCCACCAACACGAGCACATTCTGAAAAATACCCGCTTCCCAGCATTTTTCGAGGCAATGTATCCTCAGCTGCCAAGACCCAAACAAAAAGCAAACGAAATTTTGGTACCAGGAACTGAACCCGTGACCTCCCACCAGGCAGGGGTTACACTGCTGAGCTAAATCCCTGGTCCCCTAAACACAGTATGTTTAACAGCTTGGTGCAGGCTCACAAGACTGCAATCCCAGCACTCTGGGAGGCTGAGGCAGGAAGATCATGTTTTGGCCCAGCCTGGGAAACTCAGTGACTCAGTGAGACCCTGTCTCAAGTTAAAAAGAAAGGGGGTGGAACTCAGTGTAAAGGGCCTGTGTCCAGCCCAGAGCATTTCTCCCGCACACACGAGGAAAAAAAAAAAGAAAAAAAAATTGAGCGACCAAATTCAACACTGAGTAAATTTGCCTCCCAGAAGATATGCAAATTGACAGTGAGCTTGTGCAAAGGTGTTGGCATTGTGGGCCTTTAGAAAACTCCGAGTCACCCAGTGCGGTGGCACATCTCTGTCATCCCAGCACCCAGAGGCTGAGGCAGGAGGATCTAGAGCTTGAGCCCAGCCTGGGCTACATAGCAAGACCCTGTCTCAAAACAAAACAAAACAAAACAAAACAAAACAAAAAAAAACCCCAAAAACAAAACATTAACCATACAAACAAAAACACAAAGCCCCCCAAAATAAAAGAAAAACCTACCACACAATAAAATACCACTTCAATTCCATCAAAATAGAGTTATAAACAACCAAACCCCAAAACAAATGTGAGTGAGGACATAGGAAATCAGAATTCTTGAATACTGCTGGGGTCTGTAAAAGAATACAACCAGGGACTTAGCTCAGTGGTTCGGGTGCTTGTCTGGTAAGTGCAAGGTCATGAGTTCAATTTCTAGTACCAAAAAAGAAAGAAAGAATACAACCAGAGTGGGGACAGTTTGCAGTGTCTCAAGAGGTGAAACATAGGTGGCCTGGACCTAGCTCTTGCTTCCAAGAACATACCCCTGAATTTGGTTTGCTTTGGTTTGTTTGTTTTGTCTTTTGAGACAGGGTCTTGCTATGTAGTTCAGGCTGCCCTTGAACTCACAGCATAGCCCAGGCTGGCCGCCAACTCTTGGTGATCCTCCTGCCTCAGCCTTCTAAGGGCTATAAGACCTGTACCACCACATCTGGGCCAATTTGGTCTTACGGTGCTGGGAAGAAAAGCCAGAGCCTCATCCATGCTAGGCAAGCATCCTACCACACAGCTACATTCCTGGTCCTGTCTAAGAGGACAGTGTGTGTAAGTCCACAGGAGAATTTTACAGGAAGCTGGGTGTGATGGTGCACACCTGTAATCCCAGCACTCTGGGAGGCTGAGGCAGAAGGATCACAAGTCTACACCTAACCAGAGTAACTTAGTACACCTTTTGTCAAAGTACAAAAGGGCTGGAGATGCAGCTCAGGGTAAAGGTCCTGGCTTTGACCCCCAGTAGCACCCATCGGCCGTGTGTGACCAGCATCAGAAGCAGCGAGCAGGGATTAAGATGTCAGAAACTGCCGGGCCTCAGGCAGCAGGCTGCCAGGTGAGGCATGGGATTCTGGGGAGAGGGCAGCCCGGCCCCAGACAGACACCTAGCGCCACAGCCAGCACGTGGGCAGTGCCACAGCACCCTGGCTCCATCAAGGGACAAGACTCCACTTTGTCCCAGTTACTTCCTCAGTGCTGGGACACAGTCCCAACACCCAGAGCCGGGGGAGGAGAGGTCTGCTCCAGCTCAGCGTGGAGAGCTTTCAGAACGCAGCCCCTGGCGGGTGGCAGAGGGGAAACAGCCCTGGCCGGGCGGGCAGGAGCAGTGGGCCCTCTTCCTCCTCCCCTTTGATTCTGTGTCACCCCCGGGGTCCCCTCTTCAGTAACCCACCATCTGTGCCCAGAGCCACGCCGGGCTATATTGTGAGCCCTCCGCAGTCCTTGTCCTGGTGTGGGAAGATGGACAGCGGGCCTGAGGTCACTTCTGCGCTGCCCAGGAGTCATCTGCGTAACACGGTTCAGGGAGCAGCTAATGGATTGGAGCTGGTGCTTCTGCTCTGCTGTGGAACCTTTTCTGCTCTGGGGAGTTACAGCCGCTTATCCTGAGGCTCGATCCCAGCTGACTGTGTGGAGTGTGGCTCTCCTGTCCGCCCGGCTCACATATGTTTTCTGGGAGTGATGGGAAGGGGCGACACTGACCTGTCCCCTTGCTTCAAAGACTGCATGTCAGCACCTCAGCCAGGCTGATTTGCATGGCTTGAACCCAAATAAGGCGATAAGGAAAAGTCGTAGCCAGCTCCATACGTGACACACGGAAACAGGGCCAGGTTTAGCCACAACGGGACGATGGCTCTTCTTTTTTTTTTTAAATTTTTTTTTTTTTTTTGGTCTTTTTCCTTTTTATCGGTACCGGGGATCGAACTCACGACTACCAGCTAAATCTTCAGCCCCCTACACCAGCATTTTCAAAATCACAAAATGCTTCATGAATTTTTGACTCTTCAGGCCACACAAATTCCTCTGTGTTGTTCCAGTTTCAGCAGCTGCGTGGCCGAGGTAAGCACAGGCCCATTTCACAGATGGGGCCCAGAGTCCCTGTCCCATTGCCCAGCGGTGCCCTGCTGCCCCTGAGCTCCTGCTGCATGGCTTCTCAGGGTAGAAGGGTGCTGTGACCCCAAGGCTTAGAGGATGCACTCACCCAGCTGCACCAGGAGGCCTGGTACCCACTGCACGGGGCGACCTGCTTTGGGTAGTTGGCCCCACTCAGCTGTCAGCACAGGGATGTGGACAGCGGCCGGGGTGGGAGCTCTGGGGATCCTGGGCCAGGGGGACCCTGGCTTCCCTGGCTGGACAAGCCATTTCCTGTTTTCCTGCGGAGGCCCAGGGAAAGCAAGTGAACAGAGCCCTGACAAAGCTGGGCACTGTTAGCTGGGTGTGGTTGTGCCCGCCTGTCATCTCAGCACACTGGGGAGGCTGAAGCAGGAGGATCTCAAGTTGGAGCCCACCATAGTGACTGAGACCCTGTCTCAAAAGTAAAAATAAAAAGGGATGGAATCATAGTTCAGCACAAAGGGCCCAGGTTAAATGCTCAGCACCTCAAAAATAACCCTTTAAATCCCTGTAAACCTGTGTGATCTGTAGAAAAATTTAAGATCCTTGGTCTGTCCTACAGTTTGCACTAATGGCTCTCTGGAGACTTGGCAACAATGTGCCTGTTCTATTTGGGGCAGGCCCCTGGGCAGAGGTTACCACCAGCATCCCTGGCTAGCAGTGTTGGTGTGGCCACCCCAGGATGTGGAGAGAAAGGACTTCTTGTGTGCCTGGGGAGGGTGGCAGCCTCAGCCTTGCCAGCCCAGCAGATCTGATGGGCGCATCTGTGCTTGCCCCAATAGCAGCACTGACCCTCTCTGAAAAACACTAATGTACATCTGTAATCAAGCACTCCGGGAGGCTGAGACAGGATTTTAATCTTGAGCTTGGCTTGAGTAACCTAATGAGACCTGGGCTAAATCCAAATCTGATTTCATCCTGACTCGGCCTCCTGAGTGCTGGCATTACAGGTGTGCACCACCACCCCTGGCCCATCTGCTAGGCCAAGAGCTCCAAGGCTCACCTCCCACTAAAAGCCAACACCTAGAGGCCTCTGCATGCTGGGCAGCTACAGCCTGTGACACTACGCCAGCTTCCTGCAGACTGGGTCATGCTCAGGGTGGCACTCGTGGATAGACGTGGTGGTTCCATGATGCGGCTTTTTGCCTGGGGTCCCGCTGCCCAGCCCAACACTTAATGCAGCTATCATTGTAAGGCTATTTTGTAACTAAAGCCATAGGTCACTTTCTGGTACCAGAGTTTGTGTCTCACCCACGCCAGGCAGGCAGCCCCAAGCCCTCATGGCACCCTGGCTCAGGAGCCCATGGACACTGCAGGCCGCAGGAGCAAGGCTGAGTTCCTGCTGCTCAGTGCTGGGCCACCCTGGACATTCAGGTCTTGCTGCGCAGCCAAGGGTGGCCTTAAGCTCAAGGTGCTCTTCTCGCAGGTGGGCACCATACGTGGCTGGGTCAGCACTGGTCTGTGATGCTGATGTATAAATTCTGACTGACGGTGCCATAAGCACGAGTGTCCACCAGAGGGCACCCGAGCTCCCAGGCTGCACACTATTCTAGTGCTTTCTGCAGTCTGGGTTTTTTGCAGGGAGACTGTAGATAGAGGCACAGAAATGTCTTAGTGGAATCAGGGATTGAACTAAACCAAGCCGCACAACCCGAGCTTTTTTAACACTGATACTAGACCCACCTTCCGTACAATACGCTTTCCAGCGCCCTCACCAGCTCTGCCCAGGGCAGTGGCTGTGCTGGGTGTCACTGTGAAGTGCACCGCTGTGACAGGGGACCCAGATGCTGCCACCCAGGGAGCAGCAGTGCCTGTGCATCTTCTCCCAGGGTGGTGCTGCCTCCCGGGCCCTGCCCTCATCACCTCTGCAACACACACTCTCCTGGGGAGTCGGGGCCTTTATTTCGCACAGAACACTGGGAACACGAGACTCCAGACATGGTGGGACACAGGTGACGAGCATGATGATCAGAGCTGGGGTCCTGGGCCCCGGGTGGCCCCACTGGCATCTACAGAAGCGGTGGTGTGAGGGGACCTAACTACTGGGCCCTGTGACCTGGGTGCTGGCCCGCCTCAGCCTACTTGGCCAGGGGGTTTCTGAAGTTCCGGCCTGCGAACTTGGCCTTGCTGCCCAGCTCCTCCTCGATTCTGGGGAGAGAGAGGGCAGGTTAGGGTCCATATGGTGGCACCGAGCGGTGGACGGGCACAATCCCGCATGGCCTTGCTCCCCTGGGCTCCTACCTGAGGAGCTGGTTGTACTTGGCCAGGCGCTCGGATCGGCACGGTGCGCCAGTCTTGATCTGGGGAGAACGGAGGGCCAGGTTGGCAGGTGTCGGCCACCATGGGAAGGGACCAGAGGGGCTGGGGTCCGAGCAGCCCAAGCTCTCCCACCACTCAGTCCTTACCTGCCCGGTGCTGAGCCCCACCACCAGGTCGGCGATGAAAGTGTCCTCTGTCTCCCCGGACCGGTGGGACACCATGACGCCCCAGCCATTGGAGTGCGCCAGCTTGCACCTGGGAGCCAGAGACACACACGTCGTGCCTCAGTTTCCTTCGGCACAGCCCTGCTGCCACACAGCTCGGGAGCCAGGTGTGCTGGCACACATGTGTAAACCTGACACTCTGGAGGCTGTGGCAGGAGGGTCACCAGGGAGGAAACCCTGGGGGGGAAAAGGCGCGTGTCCCGTCCCACCCTGCCTCCGTCCTGCCCATCATGCCCAGGGATGGAGCCCGGGCACTCACGCCTGCAGGGACTCGGTCACGGAGCCGATCTGGTTGACTTTGAGCAGCAGGCAGTTGCAGGCCTTCTCGTTCACGGCCTTGGCGATGCGCTTCGGGTTGGTCACCGTGAGGTCATCGCCCACCACCTGGATGCCCACGCTGGCTGTGAACTTCTGCCAGGCGTCCCAGTCGTCCTGGTCGAAGGGGTCCTCGATGGACACCACTGAGGAGGGTGGGCCGCGGTGCAGAGCGTGAGCCAGGCCGGGACGGGGACACCTCCCTGTCACCGTCACCACCTACTGCCGGCTTTCATGTCCCCACTCTGCTCTTTTCCTAAAGGGGGACACTTGCCCCCCTGGGCGTTTTGGTATGGGGCATATAGCCCAGTGCCGAGTCCTGGCACACTCAAGGCTGCAGGTTCACCCTCAGCATTGCAAAAGAAAATTTTATTTTTTAATAAAGCAGAACAGGTGTAGCTGTGATCCGGGTACGCAGAAGGCTGAGGCAGGATTTCCATGCCAGCCTGGGCCCTGAAGCTCCAGGCTGCCCGGACCTACATATTGAGATCCTGTCTCAAAAAACCAAAGCTGGGATCACACAGCACATCTAAAGACCCGGCACTCGAGGCTGAAGCAGGAGAATCCTAACTGCGAGCCTGGCCTGGGCAGCTGAATGACCCAGTGAAACTGTTAAAACAAACAAGTTTGTAACTTCGTGCAAAACGTGCAAAGGTCCTTGTTCAAAGGTCCTTAGTGCTGGCGTTCTCCCAGCACCAAGAGAAAAGAAAAAAGAGAAAGAACAGTACAGTCATGAAGTATAATGGTTAATGCAGAGTCTGGGACCCTGGGTCAGCTATAAACCGCCCCACGCCTCAGTTTTTCCTCTTGTAAGCCCCCCGCCCAGGTCGTCGTGGTTCCTGCTCACCTGGGTAGTCTTTGATGAAGGATTTGTAGAGGTCACCCAGCTGATCCGGTGAGATGTACCTGCTGGAGTCGTCGGGGGACTTGAAGTCCAGGTCATACTTTCCAGACCTGAAGAACTCGGACGCGGCCACGTCCATGCCAATGACCACCTTGTCCGTGTAGCCCGCCTTCCCGATGGCATTCTTTAGCAACTCCAGGGCTGGGGACATGGGAGACAGGTCACAGGTGGGCAGAGGGCAGCAGTCATGTGGGGACAGGAGATGGAGGAGCAGGGGCCTGACCCTGCCAGGCCCTGGGCATCACCCCTTGGGAGGCTGGTAGCCACCCCAGGAAAGGAACCTCCTCACGGCAAAGCGCCCAGGGACAGCTGCACAGGCCAGGAGGCCAGGACAGTCACAGCCAGCAGCTGACACCGGCTGTCTCCCAGCCAAGTTTAAACAGAGGCTAGGCTGGGAGCCAGGAGGGAGCCCCAGGCATCCAGGGCCACCTCTGGGTTGTCTCAAGTGGCAGCGTGGCCTGACCTGACCCAGGCAGGGCACACAGGTGGCTCCCGGCCCTGCGGTCCCATCCAGTTAGGGTCAGTCTGTGAGAAGGTAATTTCCTGTAGATCCCAGCGAGGGGACACCTGGAATCTCACTGGCTACCCTTACCTACAACCCCAGCACCAGGGAGGCCGAGGCAGGACTCCACCCTGAGGAACGCCCGGATCCCGGAGGGGCGGCCCTACCTTCCTTATTCTCCAGGATGTTGGGCGCGAAGCCGCCCTCGTCGCCCACGTTGGTGGCGTCCTTGCCGTACTTCTCCTTGATGACGTTCTTCAGGTTGTGGTAGACCTCGGCGCCGATGCGCATGGCCTCCTTGAAGCTGTCCGCGCCCACGGGCAGGATCATGAACTCCTGCATGGCCAGCTTGTTGCCAGCGTGGGAGCCCCCGTTGATCACGTTGAAAGCCTGGGGCCGGGGGACCACCGGGGACAGGTCAGCGGGGCCAGGGCACCCATCACCCCAACTAGCTCAGCATACCTGTCACCTGCCCCCCACAAGCCAGACACCCCGACCCGGGAAAGGTCAGGCCAGCATCTCAGGGTGCCCCTGCCCCTCGCAGACGTCCCCTGGGGCCACTCACAGGGACTGGCAGGATGACCTCGGCATTGCCGGCCAGGTCGGCGATGTGGCGGTACAGCGGCACCCCCTTCTCCACAGCGCCGGCCTTGCACACGGCGAGGGACACCCCCAGGATGGCATTCGCCCCGAACTTGGCTGCAAGGGAAGGAGGTGAACAAAACCTTCCATGTTTCCCCAGGGGCGGGACCCGGTCTGTGGTGATGAGTGACACTGAAGCCCTGGCTTGTTTGAGACGGGACCTTGGGGAGTCACTGGGTGGCCAGGAGGGGTTTGAATTCGGGACACCCCTGGCTAACCCTCAGGTGTTTCTTCCGCGCCTGTCTTGCGGCCCCAGCCTCTGGCCTGTGCTCGGGATTTCCCTCGAGCAGAGCCACCGGTGCCCGGACACCCTCTCATCCATGAGCCCTGGAGGAGAGGGCGACTGTTCATCTTTGCTCCCTGTGGTGGTGGGGATTGAACCCAGGGCCTCATGTGTGCTGGACAAGCCCCCTACCACGGAGCCCCACACCCAGCAAGAGGACAACCAGTCCCAAGGCTGCTGTCGTCAGGTCACACTCCTGGCACTGAAAATATGACTTCTAAACTAGGTGCGGGGACACACACAAATTCCCAGCCATAGGGAGGTTGAGGCAGGAGGATCTCAGTGAGCAGGAGGCCAGCCTGAACTAGAGACCCCTCTCAAAATAACAAACATGAGACTTTAGTTTGGGTTTTTTTGGTACTGGAGATCAAACTCATGAACTGGCACTTGCCAGGCAGGTGCCTGTGCTGCTGAGCTGAATCCCCGGCCCACAAAGGCATTGTAAAGCAACAGGATGAGAAGAAGCCGGATGGTGGCCCAGTTCCTTCCCAGGGTTCTGCTGAAGGAGCCGCCCCGGGTGCCCAGGTCAGGGACTCACATTTGTTCTCAGTCCCGTCCATCTCGATCATCAACTTGTCGATCTTCTCCTGCTCCACGACGTTCAGCTTCTGGGGGGAGAGGGGAGGCTGAGGGCTGCCTGCTGCTTCGGAGCCAAGACCAGAGTTAGGTGGACGGTGTCAGGGGTGGGCCAGGGGTGAGCTGAGGGCCTGGGCTCCAGCCAGCACCACGAGAAAACCCAGACACAAAGCAGCCTCCGCCTTCAAGCCAACCCGGTCCCCTCAGACCTGAGGTCACCTCACACAGTGGCCAGCCCGGCCAGCCACAGGCTGTGGACATAACAGAGCCCACTGTGCAGCGCGGGGTCTTAGCCTCTCGGCTAAGGTCAAAGGTTACGATCTATCCCTACAGGATGCAGGACTTCCGTTTCTTCACATTTGGTGGGGTGGGACTGGGGATGGAACTCATGACCTTGTGCTCGCCAGGCTGGCACTTGTGCCACTGTGCTAAATCCTCTGTCCCTACTCTTTTTTGTTTGGTTATTTTTTTTTTGTTTTTTGAGACAGGGTCTTGCTCTGCAGTTGGGGCTGGTCCTCACTTTGTAGTCTAGAACTCACAACCATCCCCCTGCCTCAGCCTCTCCTAAGCACTGGGATCACAGGCATGCACCACCACGCCTGGCTCTTGGTACTTTTTTATAGTGTCACTATAGCTGATGCTGGGCTCAAACTCATAGGAACCTTCCTGCCTCAGCCCCCAAGCAGTGTACTTCAATTATAGCTATGTGTCACCACGTCTGGCCTGGGTACTTAATTTCTGTAAGGAGCCCAAAATCATTTAGCTAAACATCTGATGGCTGATCAAAATGGCTATTTTAAAAGACTGGTGTCTTCAAAATTGGCTCAGAGTAGTATTTTTATCCCTGAAAATTAAAAAAAAAAAAAAAAAAATCAATCATAACACACAACTTCATAAAAACTAAAACACGGAGGTTAGGTGTGACAGTGCACACCTGCAATCCTAGTTCTTTGGAGACAGACAGGGTGGGGGGCTACCCACAGCAAGGCAGCCTCAAAAACCAAACGGCCTCGGCCTCTACCGCGGCACTCTCATAATCTGAGTCTGCTGCGGTTTCATACAGCACCGCTGCAACCAGCAGTCACCCAGGCAGGCAGCGCAGAGGCCAGGCCTTGCCAACCGCCCAGGTGCCATGCACTCCCCAGGGGACATTGTGCCATGCGGGGCACCAAGGGACAATATCACAGGGTGCACACAGGCAGAGCCAGCCAGGAACTTCTTCCTCAGGGAATCAGGCAGGGAGGGACCAATTAAAGGGCGCCACAGACACCAGGCCCAAATAAGGGCGGTGACAAGGGAGCACCTTCCCTCTCTCCCGGGGGTTAGGGTGCAGAACAGGGCGTGTGGGCTGACGCAGGGCCCCAGGTCTCCCACGGCGGCTCGACTTCTCCCTGCTGCACAAACTAAAGTTACAAGCAGGATTTCTTTTTTGGTGCTGGGGAGGGAAGCCAGGCCTCCCCGCTGTCACACAGCCCCAGTCCCTTAAGGAAAGGTTTTCTGGGGAGCTGAGGTCTTGCACCGTTGACGGAACTCCTGAACTCAAGTCAGGCGCTTCCTTCAACCTCCCAGGTGGCTGGGCCTACAGGCATGTGCCACCACACCCCCCTGTGGGAGTTGCCAATTAACAAGAGGTGCACTGTAAGAAGAGTCAGCAGAGGTGCATGAAAAATTCCCAAGTTCTGAAGTCACTACGGCCAGGAAACACCTCCACTAGCTCTGAAATCTGGCCCTTCACTCCCTGAAGGCCAAGAGAGTTGCAGACTGACTCTCCCCAGTGGTGCACACCTGTAATTTTAGCACACCAAGGCTGAGGCAGGAGGATCCCCTTGTACTGAAGGCCAGCCAGCCTGCCCTACAAGGTGAGACCCTGTCTCAAAAATACCCAAGCCCTCCCCAAACTAAGACAGTTACAGGGGAAAAAGCCGAGGGTGGAGGCAGCTTCATCTCTAGGTGCTGTTAGCTGCGGGCACAGGAGTGGAGGTTACATCATGCACCACATGCTGGGATCCCCGACTTCTGCAGCTCTCAGAATGAGCTCCTCTGTGAACAGGAGGGGCCTCGGCCTAGGGCTGGCTCTGGGGCACTGCTGGGCGTCAGTGACCGGGAGGCAGGTCCTACCTTGCTAACCAGGGCAGGTGCAATAGTATTATTGATGTGCTCAACAGCCTTTGACACACCTAGAAGGAATAATCAATCGATTACTGACTTCGGTTAAAAGTTACAGGCTTGAGCAGCGCCGCTAAAGAAATAGGAGGCTGCAGGCTGAAGCCCCAGGACCTCTGCCTACACCCTTCCCGCGCCCCAAGTGGGTTTCGGCCCAGTCTGAGCGCTTGCACCTCGGACCCACGGGTTAGAGCCACACAGGAGCAGCCTTGAGTATCCGAGGGGGTTAGTGTCACGCCATGCACCAGGCCACGGCCGGCGCATTACCTGCGTGCACAGAGCTGGTGCCAGGAACTCATTGACATACTTAACAGGTCTGGAGACACCTGCCCCACCAGGAGGACAGAGGAGAGAGGGACTCAGGAAAGAAAGCAGAGGGGACAGACGGCAAGGAACCGTGAGAGAAGAGAAGGTGGTAGGGGCCAGGCGCCTTCCTTGGGCCCCACCTCTCACCCCCAGGCAGTGACCATCCCAGCCCCAGGAAGTCCCCCCACAGCCACCGGGGGACAGGGTCAGTGGTGCTCAGGGAGAGCACTCAGGCAGCCTGAGCACGGAGGCTCTGCAGACCTCTGCTGCCACCTGGAGAGCTGTCGCCCTGGGACAGGCAAGGTCTCACCCGTGTGCTCCCTGCGACCTGGCCAGAGTGCCGTCCACAGAGGGGGCTGCACTGGGCTGAGCCTGTGACTTAGTTAACCCCGGGGGCTCTCAGCAGCCCCACCCTCCCACAGGTCCCCTTTTCCCTGCCCAGAAGGAGGCAGAATGCAATAGAAACACAGGGAATGGGAAGCCACTGTCCCCAAAGCCACTGCATGGTCACCAGTCCACCGTGAGTGCAAACCCCTGAAGGGCAGCCCAGCCTCACCCTTGCCCATGTAACGTGTCTTGTCATTGTCACGCAGCTCCAAGGCCTCGTAGATGCCAGTGGAGGCCCCGCTGGGCACAGCAGCTCGAAACAGGCCTGGAGGAGGGGAGAGAATCAGCAGCTGAGGGAGACTGCTGGCTCCCACTCTCGGAGGGCAGCTGTCACTCCCTTCTACCAACTGGGAGGCCCTGACGGCCTGTTCTTCCCGCCCGTCGGGTTCTATGATTCTGTTGTGCAGACCCTGCCATGACAGATGCGCGCCTGGGCAGAGCTTCTTCCAGAACCTTCATGCACCCACGGGCCACCTGGAGATCTTGCTAAAGTGCAGATTTTAGTCACTCATGATGACTCAGGCCTATAATCCCAGCACTCACACTCGGGAGGCTGAGGCAGGAGGATCACCGAGAATTCAAGGTGACACAGCCAGACCCCGTCTCAACAAACAAAACAAAGATCCAGCGGGTCCTGCAGGTTGTGGGTGCTCACAGCATCCCAGGAACCCTGGGAATTCATCAGCAAACACGCACCCAAGGAAAACTGGGCTCCCCGAGGCAGGCAGGGGCAGGAACGGGGTGGGGAGAAGCAGGCAGAAGGAAGGGGCTGAGTCGACAGTGACTCAGCTCTGACTGGCAGGTCCTGGACAGCCGCTGGGTCTGGGCGCCTGCCAACTGCACCCACCGAGCCTACTTATGAAACACATGGGCACTGCTGGAGGACATGGGCCTGGAGAGATGCTGGATTTTCTTAAAAGGTTGTCTTTGGTTTTTTTGAGAGTCTCTCAGCTTGCCCTGGCTGGCATGAATCCTGCAATTTCCCTGCCTCTGCCTCCCAGGTAGCGTGCAGCACTGTCTCCCACCCCGTTTCCAGTGAAAGCTTGCAGGAAGGCCCATTCCAAGGTGCTTCACACCGGAAACTCTTCTAGGAGCCACGGCTGGTCAGGTAGAAACAAGCGCTCTGCGCTGGGTGTCCCTGGTGCCGAGGGGACTGCACTGCAATTGCCCTGGTCTGGGCTCCCCTGCAGCCGCTCGCTTTCCTTACTGAGGGGAAGGGCTCGCCCCATCACAGGCCATCTGCTTATTTGGTCACAGAAAACCATGCAGCCAGCAAGGCACGGTGCATCCTTTTAGGGACAAGGTTCAAGGTGTCACCTTACTGTCCTGACTTGGTGACCTGGGAGCCACCCCACCTTGTAAGGGGAGGCAGCCATCAATTTGCTTGGCAGAACACTGTCCCTTCCCCAAAGGCTCTGACTGCATGCCCTTTGTTTATTTGCTCACTGATGGACTGATCTTTTCAGACAGGACCTGGCTACGCAGTCCATGCTGGCCTCGAACTCCTGAGTGTCGAGGCAGGAGGACTGCTGGGAGTTTGAGACCAGCTTGGGGTACAAGGTGAGCTCACAGCCAGCCTGAACTGCACAGCAAGACCCTATAAATAAAACTGAGCAGGCAGAAGGAACTGTGGGCAGCCAAGAACACTTACCTTTGGCAGTGTAGAGGTCAACTTCAACAGTGGGGTTCCCACGAGAGTCAAAGATCTCTCGGGCATGCACCTTGAGGATGGACATGTTGGGGTTCTGTGGGGAAACAGTTTGTCCTTCAAAAAGAGGCCAGGGACATAGCTCAGTGGCATAAATGCCTGCCTGGCAAGTACTAGGTCCTGAGTTCGATTCCTGGTACCAAAATACGTGATTAAAAATGATTTAAAATGGTCCCAGGGCAGCTCAGGTAAGGCCTGGCTGGGTGTCTTCCAGCGTGGCTCTGGCCCCTGTGCTGGTTTCAGTCGCAGTACAGAGGCAGAGCTTTGAGCACGCGTCACCCAGAGTTCAATCCCTGGCACCAGTGGAAAAAATGAACCAAGTAAAAACCCTCAGCCCTGAAGGCCTCGCCCTGGCGCTCGGGCCTTGCCTGAGAACCCAGGGCTGGAAGAAACCAAATTCGGCAGGACAGATGAACGTGGAAACCATGCAGAACTGCTCTCAAGTGGGTCACTGTCCCCAGCTAACCATGGGCTTGGCAGGGGAGTGGAGAGGGCCAGGGACAAATGGTAAAGGCAGCGGGGATGTGGAGGTCACTGCAAAACCACGTGGGACAAAGCAGAAAAGGGAGAAGCCAGAACAAAAAGCTGGTTCCCCATGATGGCAACTAAGAAAAAAGTCGGGCAGAATTCACAGCAGGAGGGCTGGAGGTTTAGTTCAGCGATATAAGCGATATAAGCGCCTGCCTTGTAAGCAGGCACTCGTGAGTTCGATCCCCGGTACCAATAAAAAAAATGAAAAAAAAAAAGCAGGGCATTTAGCTCAGTGGCATAAGAGCCTGTCTTCCAAGCGCAAGGTTGTGAGTGCAATACCTAGTACAAAAAAAAAAAAAAAAAAATCAATGAGCTGTAAAAATAAACGCAGCTGGTATGCTGGCACACCCAACAGTGGAGAGGCTGAGGCAGAAGGATGTTGCAAACTGGAGACCAGCCTAGGCTACAAAGTGAGCTCAAGGCCAGACTTAACTGCATAGTGAGACCCCTTTTGTCTCAAAGAGGACAAAAACCAAAAAAAGACAAAAAATATTTGCAGTAACAAGTCCTCCAAGAAAACCTCTTTCTCCCTGTGGAGAGTGCTCCAAAAATAAAGCGGCCCCTCAAGCTGCAGAGCCGGAGCTGACCTGGGCTCAGGAGCCGCAGTCTCTGGAATGTTCTGGGGCGGGAAGTGGCATCATCTTTTTTTTTTTTTTTAAGTTTCAAAACCACTCTTGTAGTTTTGTCGTGTGTGTAACAATGGAGTTCTATTCATCGAAGGAGAAAAAAAAGGTACCCAGTTTTTCTCTACCGTGTTGGAAAAGGCAAATGAAGGCACACCTCTCCTCACCCCACATCTTCCCTCGGGCCACTTCCAGTCACTCTCCCCACCCCAGGGCTGCACAGATTGACTGTGTAGACCTATCTTTATCTTAGACTCACGGCCTTTCTGGTTTCATTTTAGTCACAAAAGATGAAATAACCAGTTTCACGTAAAAATAAACTGTGTGATTTATCTTCAAATCGGGTGGAAACACTACACTCCAAAGTCGTTCAAGTTTAGGGAGCGGAAGCCGGGAAGAGGCCTGCGCTGAACCCCGACCAACACGTGGACCCCGAAGGCCAAGCCACAGCGGCTGCGGCCAGCCAGGAGGCCGTGCCTGCCTTGGGGGAGCTCCCCCGCAGGGCTTGCTAGCAATCTGGAGGCCCTGCTCGGTGTCTTCCGGAATAAGCGGCTTCTCGGAGTCTCGCGGTCACTGAGGTGGGGGAGAGGCCCGCGGCCTCCCCGGCTCCCAGTCCCTGCCCCCTCCTCCATTTTGGATGGGGCTGGCTGGCATGGACAACGAGGTGAGGTCGATCTCTGTCCCCTAGGGCATGCCCTGGGCTCATGATGGACAGCGGCCTTTTGCTCCGCGGGCCCGTGACCACGAGCGTTCGGCGCGCGCAGCCCCGACCTCCTGATCCCCGCCGCTGCGGGGTCGCACGTGGATCCGCTCCTGCCACCCCCCGGGGGGGGCCACACAGGGATCTACGCTTTGCCCACCCCCAAGGAGAGCGAGCTCCAACAGGTGCCTGCCGCTGCGCCCCACTTATAAGGTGGTCGAACTGCGCTCGGGGCGCTCCGTGGGACCCCCGATATTGCTGGAGAAGGTGGGCTCGCACGTGCCCGAGACCCCCACGCCGAGCCCGCGCTGCTTCGAGAGGAAGGCACCTCTAAAGTTAGGAAACCCCGCGCTGCCTTCCCGGAGGCCCTCTCGGAACCCCTACCTGGCTACCGGATCTCGCTGCCCACGAAGGAAGGAGAGGGTGCTACAGACACCGAGGTGCGCGTCTAAGAGGAGAGACTCGGGCGATCCCACTCCCCGAACAGCTCTCAGCTCCGCCCGCCCAGACTTCCTGCCCAGTTCGCGAGGCCCCGCCCACCTCCCGCCCCCGGAACACGCCCACGTCAGCTTGGCCTCACCATTGGCCAGGTGAGCCGTCGCTCAGAATCCCCGCGGGAAGGGGCGGGCCTGCGGCTGCAGCTCGGGCCGGGGAGGGTGAGGGCGGTGGCGTGGAGGCCGCGGGGCCTGGGGGGCCTGGGGCTGGCGGGCCCGGGGGCCGAGGGGCCCCGGCGGCTGTGTCGGGGGGCTGGCGAGCTCCCAGATCGGGGCCTCGCAGCCGAGCGGGGACTGCGGAGGCGGGGACGCGCAGGGGCGTGGCTGGGCGGCGGGCATCAGGGCTCGGGGCCCCGTCACGTACTCCGAGTCCCGCACGCGCTCGGCGTCGCCGCACGTCCGGCCGCGACCTTGGGGGCGACCTTCGGGCGCCGCCCTCCTGCGGACCGCCCACCGCGCGGGCAGAGACCCGCGGCGTGGAGACGTTGGGCAGTGGGGCCGTGGGCCTTGTGCGGCTGCGTGGCGCATCCGCGTCCCGTAAATTCCCGCCAAGGTGACCCGGGCCTTTGTCCTGTCTGCCTGATCACTTGCGACTCTCCAGCCAGGATTGCCCAAGGAAGGGTCCTTTCCCCAGATGTCACGTTTATCCATTTATTTAGGTGCAGAGATTGAAATCAAGGCCTTGTGCATGCTAGGCACAGACTGCCCTGATGCTGCACCCCAGCGGCGCCCCACCCGGAGTGGCTCCTCCGGGTTCATTCATTCTTTGGCCCTTGGTAACGCTACTGCTTGAAAGGAAGCTTCATAGCCCAGCCTTGCTCCCTAAAAATGCTCAGCTGTAGCTCATCAGGGTGCAGGATCTCCTTCCCACTTGTCTTCACGCTACAATGTATGTCTTTGTGTACTTTTAAATTTCTGCCTAATAAACATCTTTATGCCTCTTAACGGTGAGTCCTGAAAATTCTTTTTCTGTGCTGGAGCCTGCAAACATTTCATTTTATTTTATTTTATTTGTGTTTTTAAGACAGGGTTTCACATGCAGTTCAGGCTGGTCTTGAACTCACTTTGTAGCCCAGGCTGGTCTTGAACTCTCACATGCCTCCTGCCTCAGCCTCCTGAGTGCTGGGATTACAGGTCTGGCTGAATTTGCATCGTAATTCAATAGGTCAGGTCCGTTGGAATTTCACATAGGCACAAAAACTTTCTCATGAGTTCAAGTCATATAATACTCCATGGTGGTTTGGCAAATGAAACACAGGAGAGGGTAGGTGAGGTCATTTTACCTTAATCACCATTAAAAGGAGCTCTTAGCTGGGCATGGTGACACATGCCTATAAGCTCAGCACTTCAGAGGCTGAGGCAGAAAGATCACCTCTAGTTTGAGGCTAGCCAGGGCTACACAGTGAGTTCAAGGCCAGCCTCAACTGCATAGCCAGGCCCTATCTCAAAAACAAAAACAAAAGGAAACAAAAAATAGGCCGTGCGGTGGAGCACCCTCCAAGAAAGAGCTGGAGGAATTGCCTCATTTTCTGTTGTATTTATTTTTGTATTTTCTCTGCCCCCCTCCTTTCCCCCCCCTTCTGAAAAGGTGACAGCTAAAATGTCAGGCCTCCCTATATTTTCCATATTGTTTTGCACAGAGCAGTTCAAAGACATTCTTGAATTTGCTTATTTATCATCTGATCAGATGCAAAACTGATTTGATGGCTGGGGCTCCATTTTGGCCTAGGTTTCTGTGGCACTGGGTACAAATGAAGGCCAATTGCTTTCCATTGACTAAGAAACAAGGTCTTCAGGATTAAATTCAGCAGAGAGCTTTAGATGTGTTGTTAGAAAGTCACCAATTTTGCAAGCAGAGTGTGATTTCACCAATAACACAGAGACGGTTTTTGGCTGCAAAAATCTAGTATCCCAGCTGGTGACTCAGCAGCTCAATCAACAGCCAATGTCTGGTACCCCTCCTAGGAGCTGTAGGAAATCACACACTTCACACTCTCTCCAGAGCCCTTCTAAGGCGTGGTCTTGGAGGGACTCCAAACAATCTTTCCTTTAAAATGGTTAGAAAGATAGAGACGAACAACAGGGCTCTTGCAACTGCTGTCTGGCCTGGGCTAGGAGCCTTGGGAGGCATCAAAGGCAGAACCGGATCTCAGCTGCTATTGCAAGATTCCTGGAAGCTGCTGCGGCACTGTGACCACAAACCGTGGCTCGAATGTTAATGATTAGTGGCGATTCCTTCAACTCCACATCACTTCCCAGATCCAGGATGCCCAGATGCCCTCCCTGGGCTGCTTCCAGCTTGTTATAGGCCGCAGGGCTCACTGCCTGGGCCTGAGCCCGCTCAGTTGCCCTTCCTGCAGGCCCTGCACTGCACTGCTACTTCCAGTGGGCTTATTGGGCAACATCACTGCTGCAAGCGAACTGAACGGGTGCACGGCTCCTGGGGCTGTGCAATGGCCCATCTGCTGCTGGTTCGACATAAAAGCTGAGGCACAGCCAAGAACGTTTGGGCCTTTTTGAAGAGGAACTTCCTGGCAGGATGAGGGGCCAGGCCCAGTAAGATCTCGAGTGTGGAGAGTCCTTCTTCCTAGTGGGTCAAGAGCACCCTGGGGCCGGGCAGGATAGTGTTTGCCTGTAATCCTGCCCATTCAGGATGCTGAGGCAAGAGGGTCGTTAATTTCCAGGTCCTGGGTTCAATTCCCACTATGGGAAGAGAGGGGTCTGGGGAGCTATACCTCTGGTGGAACCTGTGCTTAGCATGCAGGCCCTGGACTCTATCCCCAGCACAAAAACAAAACACAAGGGGCTGGGGATTTAGCTCAGCGGCATAAGCGCCTGCCTTGCAAGCAGGCAGTCGTGAGTTCGATCCCCAGTACCGATAAAAAAGGAAAAAGACAAAAAAAAAAAAAAAAAAAAAAAACCACACAAATGAAGTTTTTCTGTTAATCACTATTTCTTATTTTTGTTCCTTTTTTTTTTTTTTTTTTTTTTTTTGGTGGGTAGGGAGGACCGGGTCTTGCTATGCAGTTAAGGCTGGCCTTAATTTGTAGCCCAGGGGCTGGGGATTTAGCTCAGCGGCATAAGCGCCTGCCTTGTAAGCAGGCAGTCGTGAGTTTGATCCCTGGTACCGATAAAAAGGAAAAAGAAAAAAAAAAAAAAGAATTTGTAGCCCAGGCTGGTCTCGAGCTCTCAATGATCTTTCTGCTTCAGCCTCCCAAATGCTGGGATTACAATGTGCAGCACCAGACCCGGCTCTTCCTTTTTTTTTTTTTTTGACACAATGACCCAGGCTGGTCTAAAACTCAACATCAACCCCCCACCTCAGCTTCCTGATGGTGGGATCACAGGTATGTGCCCCTCACCTGATCTCCGTATGTGCTGTTCTATGCTGTGTGAGTGTCTCCTGGTCTCACTGCAGTCTTTTGGCCCTGGCTTTGGTCTCGTTACCACACACTCTGAGCTGGGGTCTCTGGAGCACTGCAAGGCCTCTCCCAGGCCCAGGTCCAGGCCCAGGCTGTGGATGTGGAGAAGCTGCATCACCTGCACCTTCTCAAACCCTAAGGAGTCCGGACCTTCACACACTTGCCTGCTGCCCAGGTTGAAAAAGTCAAATCTTCATTCTTTTTCTAGGAACGAAGTCCCGAAGACAGGGTCTCCTAACGAATCCTGACACGAAGGAGTTAAAAGCAGACTTTACCAGTAGCCTCCCCTCTCTCCCTCCTCTTTGCAAATCACGTCTTGCTTTCATTAAACTTTGTCCCACTAATTTATTATTGGGGCTGCATTACGATTCCCCTTGGGCAGCAGAGCTGCGGTGCTCCTTCCCACACACAACAAAACTGCATCTGCATGTATGCTGCCACCAAACTCCACACCTGGAGGTGGCTTCCAGGGCCCTGTTGCACTTCCCACTTCCACAGCCCACTCCATGCTTTCGTCGAAGTGGACTTCAAACTGGGCATGGTGGCGCAATGCCTGTCATCCCAGCAGTCCTAGAGGCTGAGGCAGGAGGATCACAAGTTCAAGCCTATGCTTTTTTTTTTTTTTGTCTTTTTCTTTTTTATCGGTACCGGGGATCAAACTCACGACCACACCCTTGCAAGGCAGGCCCTTATGCCGCTGAGCTAAGTCCCCAGCCCCCTAGTTACTTTTCTTACTGCTGAGACAAAATACCCAACCCTCCAAAGTTAAAGAGGAAGGGTTTATTTAGCTCACAGCTTGTGGAGGTTTCAGTCCATAGTCGGCTGGGTCCAAGGCAGGGTGGCCTGGTGAGGGATAACAGTTCATGGTGGTGGAAGGCAGTAAAAGCAACAAGACAGAAATAAGGCTCTTTCTGTCTCGTACACTGTATGCAGGCTACCGGCCTGTTGTTGGTGGGTTTACAAGGGAAAAGATTTAATATAGGACACATACTTTATAGGATATTTTATAATATTTTCCTCAAGAGTCAAATGCAAAAGAGTGCAAAAGATCTTTCCACACTCTAGAGACCCAAAAGATCCCACTGAGGGCCTGGATCCCACATTGGGTCCAGCAGTGTCCTTCACAAGTCCAGCAGGAGGCCTAGAGCCCACGACAATACCTCATGCAAGTCTATACTGGAGATCTGTACTGGGAAGGCCCAAAGGTCATCGTGGAAGCCTGAAGGTTTGCATCATTGGGGTGAACGATTTGTGCCAGAGGCTGAGGGATCTGCCCTGGAGCCAGGAAGCAACCCTCAAGGTGAGGACCAGGGTTCCCCAAAGAGGACCGCAGCCATCCTCAGTGGCCTTGAGGACCCAAGCTCCTCCGATGATGAGAACAGCTGGGTTCCCTTCAGGAAGCCAGCGTGACAAGCTTCTCCATCAACAGCCCACTGTCTCCCCTTCCTCTGGTTCTCTGTGCTACTGACAGCAGTCCACAGGTGGCCTCCGCACCCAGTGCCACACTGACTCAGTCCCGGGTTGACCACCAGTTGTCAATCCAGCATAGCGCCCTAGGGTGGGTGTAGCACTCACACCTGTGATCCTAGCCAGCCGGAACTGTGCCAAACCCAT